TTGGAGGTGTCGTCGCCCCCCCCCTCTCCCCCCCCCCAGTAGTTACGGCCCTGCCACAGAGACAGAATCGTATATGCCGTAAGTGATCTGCGACTGCGGAGAAAATTACTTGCGTATCCTCTAGGTTCAAATGTACCTTCATAATGATTATAGACAGGGACGAAACTACCCCCTTTTAATAGGGGGGGTGTCTGCTAGAATTGCCCTGCGAAAGCCGTTGATGCCCTGCAGAAAATTTTTTTTCGTCGACCTACTCCCCCCCCCGTCGCCAAAAAAATTTTGGTCAGTGTACCATATTAGGGGTCAAAACTTTTTCCCGGACATTCAAAAAAGATGCCCAAAAAATTTTCCCGGACACAAAACAGTTAAATTAAAGGTAAAAATTTTTTTTTCGGACATACACCAGTATAATTAAAGGTCAAAAAATTTTTTCGGACAAATTCCTGTTAACACATGCGTGAAACCATTATTTTTTGAACAATATCTGAAATTTAAAATCTTTCATTGCCCTGCCAATGCAGATGATTTGCCCTGCCAATCCAGCCTAGGGGGGTGTCACCCCCCCCACACCCCCCTTAAGTTTCGTCCCTGATTATAGATTCGCCCCAGACGTATGCGAAAAGAGCTTCTATAGTTTGATTCTCCTAGTAGACATTGCAGGTTTCGGCAAGTATTCTAGTTTTCAAAACTGAGATGGTCCTTACTCACTAGGAAGAATAGTTTAGAAGCTTTACTTACCGATGAATGCAAGGCCATGCCCTCTATCTGCGTGCGCCAGTTTAAATCATTTTAAATAATTTAGGGGCCATTCACAAAGGATGTCCGAGCCGAGGGGGGGGGAGGGGGGTTTGGAAAATCAGGACAAACTCGGACATAGGTAGGGTGGGGGGGGGAGGGGGGGTTAGCAATCCGGATGTCCGAACTTTTAAAAAATTCAAAAACAAATTTCTTTTTCCCTCTATTTTGAGCAGTCCTTCCCATTGTGAAATTGGCATTTTGACTATGCGGTTAACACTAGATTTTGTTTTAATTAGTAATTTATATATATTTTGTGTTCACATTTACAGTTATAAAAAAGTTCTAAAAGTAAATAAAGTTTTTTACTCTTGATATATACAAGGTTGCGTGAGTTTTTGCGAGGCATGGCGGATGTCCGGGGAGAGGGAGGGGGGGTCACTAATTCGGACAATGCCGGACAAGGGGGGGGGGTCTGAAAATCCATCATTTGGCCGGACATCCTTTGTGAATGGCCCCTTAAGACAGTATCTCATAGTCTATCGCGATATGAAGGCCTGGAAACTAAACAGACATTGTCGGAGTTTATGTTAATTTGTGCACAGTCACGGTGATTGAGCTCATTGTATTTTCGTATAATGAAGTAAGCGTCCAATAGGGATAGCTGAGATGAAACGTGCAACCACGATGAATAATATTTAATGAAGTTGAGACAAAGGATTTGTGCGCGGTGCGGTACAGTTCAACATCAAACAAAGCTCTTCTATTTTGTGGCTTTAAAATTTGTTGGGCTTCCAGACCATCAGATTTTGACAGACTATGGTCATTTTAACCACAATTTTTTTTGTTCGGTTTAGCTGTGTAATTCATCTGGCAAACTTGGTATTCGCTTTTTGCGATTCAGGGGCAACAACAGGATTAACAATGGTGATTGCTGTGATAACGCGATTTTGTGTTTAGAGGCCTGCGATATTTACTTAAAGATCTGTGTCACAGAGGTGCCGCAAGCAAAGTGTAATGCGGGCAACTTTCAAACAAAAGTTTTGGGTAAAGGAAGCTTCACTTTTCCAGGAATTGGCGGGGATCTTGGAAATGGGAAGAAAAATCCATTGGAATACAGTTTCCAGAAATGGCAGGTATAGTGTTAAGATGTTGAGGGATTTTGTCAGCTATCAGTTAAGATATTTTTTAAGATGTCAGTTCCAAATTACTGTTTAATAATTTGTCAGCTATCTGTCAAGATATTTTGTAAGATGTTAGTTCCAAATTACTGTTCCATCATTTGTCAGCTATCAGTTAAGATATTTTGTAAGATGTCAGTTCCAAATTACTGTTTCATCATTTGTCAGCTATCTGTGAAGATATTTTGTAAGATGTCAGTTCCAAATTACTGTTTTATCGTTTGTCAGCTATCAGTTAAGATATTTTGTAAGATGTCAATTCCAAATTACTGTCCCATCATTTGTCAACTATCAGTTAAGATATTTTGTAAGATATATCAGTTCCAAATTACTGTTTCATCATTTGTCAGCTATCAGTTAAGGTATTTTGTAAGATATCAGTTCCAAATTACTGTTCCATCGTTTGTCAGTTATCAGTTAAGACTATTTTGTAAGATGTCAGTTCCAAATTACTGTTTCATCATTTATCAGCTATCAGTTAAGATATTTTGTAAGATGTCAGTTCCAAATTACCGTTTCACTTGTCAGCTATCAGTTAATTAAGATATTTTGTAAGATGTCAGTTTCCGAATTACTGTCTCATCATTTGTCAGCTATCATTGAAGATATTTTGTAAGATATCAGTTCCAAATTACTGTTCCATCATTTGTCAGCTATCAGTTAAGATATTTTGTAAGATATCAGTTCTAAGTTACTGTTTCATCATTTGTCAGCTATCACTGAAGATATTTTGTAAGATATCAGTTCCAAATTACTGTTCCATCATTCGTCAGCTATCAGTTAAGATATTTTGTAAGATATCAGTTCTAAGTTACTGTTTCATCATTTGTCAGCTATCATTGAAGATATTTTGTAAGATATCAGTTCCAAATTACTGTTCCATCATTCGTCAGCTATCAGTTAAGATATTTTGTAAGATATCAGTTCTAAGTTACTGTTTCATCATTTGTCAGCTATCATTGAAGATATTTTGTAAGATATCAGTTCCAAATTACTGTTCCATCATTCGTCAGCTATCAGTTAAGATATTTTGTAAGATATCAGTTCTAAGTTACTGTTTCATCATTTGTCAGCTATCATTGAAGATATTTTGTAAGATATCAGTTCCAAATTACTGTTCCATCATTCGTCAGCTATCAGTTAAGATATTTTGTAAGATATCAGTTCTAAGTTACTGTTTCATCATTTGTCAGCTATCATTGAAGATATTTTGTAAGATATCAGTTCCAAATTACTGTTCCATCATTCGTCAGCTATCAGTTAAGATATTTTGTAAGATATCAGTTCTAAGTTACTGTTTCATCATTTGTCAGCTATCATTGAAGATATTTTGTAAGATATCAGTTCCAAATTACTGTTCCATCATTCGTCAGCTATCAGTTAAGATATTTTGTAAGATATCAGTTCTAAGTTACTGTTTCATCATTTGTCAGCTATCATTGAAGATATTTTGTAAGATATCAGTTCCAAATTACTGTTCCATCATTCGTCAGCTATCAGTTAAGATATTTTGTAAGATATCAGTTCTAAGTTACTGTTTCATCATTTGTCAGCTATCATTGAAGATATTTTGTAAGATATCAGTTCCAAATTGCTGTTTCATCATTTGTCAGCTATCAGTTAAGATATTTTGTAAGATATCAGTTACAAATTAATGTAAACAGTGCCGAAGAATACTGGTAAAGAGTTGATCCCATTGGGAACCTATTTCATTTAAATTCGTTTCTAGGGTTTTGGCCTAACAATTGAAATGTGGGATTACGACAGTGGTTTTATAAAAGGCTCGAGTGATTTTGTCGACAACGTTCATTTAGACATCACGGACGCTCCCGATCAAAACTCTACATCTGCAAGCAACAAACCAAAGCGTATGGCGTCAAACAGATCTCCGAAAGAACGCTACATAGATCTCCAAATTAAAATCCACTGCGACGACAACTACTTGCTCCCAGACTGCGCGCGGGAATGCACACCAAGTGACGACGCGTCAGGACACTATACATGCGATTACGTCAGAGGTTTGATAATATGTAACCAACACTGGTACGGAGACCGCTGCACGCAGTACTGCAGGCCCAGAAACGACGGCTTGGGTAATTACACGTGCGACAAATTTGGCGCGAAAATTTGTGCGGGTAATTGGTTTGGCGGAAACTGTACGACGTTTTGTAAAAATACGGATGGCCCAACTGGGCATTACAAATGCGATAGTTTAACAGGAAATAAAGTTTGTCTACCTAATTGGTACGGTGGGGATTGTTTAGTGTTCTGTAAAGCACAGGATAGCAGCGACGGCCATTATTCCTGTAACAAGACGAGCGGGGAGAAAGTCTGTATAAGGGACTGGTACAGAGCTAATTGCACGAAATATTGTTCGCCGCAAAACGATCGGTTATTGGGTCATTTCAAATGTGACGTCACTGGAGACAAAGTCTGCCTGCCTGGATGGCGTGGTCGTAATTGTACGCAAGGTGAATATGGAACTTTAACACCATTTTCTAGTTTGATTCTACCACTGGAGTATCAAGGGATGACTCTTACTGGACCTCTAGGAAGATTAGCAGTTTAGAACTGATAGAGTTATCCAGTATAAATAAAGTTAGTTTAGTTTAGGTTTCCTCTTGTAGTAATACTGGATCAATAAGAGATGATCCTTACTGGACCTCCAGGAAGAACAGTTTAGAACTGATAGAGCTATCCAGTATAAATAAAGTTAGTTTAGTTTAGGTTTCCTCCTGTCGTAATACTGGATCAATAAGAGATGATCCTTACTGGACCTCTAGGAAGAACAGTTTAAAACTGATAGAGCTGTCCAGTATAAATAAAGTTAGTTTAGTTTAGGTTTCCTCCTGTAGTAACACTGGATCAATAAGAGAACTGGACCTCTAAGGAGAACAGTTTTGAACTGATATATCGAGTTATAAATATTGATTGTAGTCTACCCATGTGATTGACACGTGATCTTAACCTCCACAGCACTGACTGCACTCATAACGTGCTATAATAAGCTGGAACTCTGGATTGACGGCGTGTGGTATGGACCAGACAATGCTCAATGGAAAATTGCATGGTCTTTTCAAATCTCAACCAACGCTACCCTTATTGCAGTGAAAGCTGTACAATACGGAGACAAAGG